CTGATGCAAGGTCAATTGTTAATTTTAGAACTGAGATTAATAGTTTATCAAAGATATTGCTGCTGCTTTTTAGAAACTTGCCATCTAGAGTTTAATTGTCTTTGCAGCAGGAGGTTTCTTTGGAGCCTGGTTAATTTTTGCCAGGTCATTTCTTCCCCCCCCACCCCCCCACTTTTCCTTTCCTTTTGTAATGCAGGGATCACAGATGACAACTTTAAAAGGCTGTTAACATTAACACTGTATTTCTAAGTTTCAAGTTTAATAAGACTGAAGAGCCCTTTCTTGATGTTGCCAGACCTGCTTAGCTATTCCAGCATTATTTTTATTTCAGATCTCAAACATCTGCAGTACGTTGCTTTAACTTAGTAATATGCCTGTGTCACTACAATATAGGAAATAGGAGGAAGAGTAGGCCATTTGGCCCACTCTACCATTCAATTAGATCATAGCTGATCTTTCTCAATGCCATTCTCCTACATTATTCCTATTTCTGTTAGATATCTTTGTTATCTAGAAAACTATTGATCTCTCTTGAACATATTCCATGACTGGCCCTCTTCAATCCTTGGGATAGAGTTCCAAACTTTGTTGCCCTTTGAAGAAATTCATCGTTATCTCAGTTCTGAAAACCTACCCCTTATTCTGACATTAGTCCATGTTTCTACAACTTCCAGCTGGTGAAATCTTCAGTGTTATTAATTGCTCACGTACTGCTTTTTTACTGATAAATTTATTTCAATTTCTCATCTCTCTTGTCCCTCGGTGTTTTCACATTTCTGGGAGTTTTTGTATTTTATGGGGCCCTTACAGGCCTGGGGAGAGGGGAATTCATAGGCATCGTTAAAATGTCATGAACAGGTACAGAAAATAATCAGGGGCGAGTGATTAAAAATGGCAAAAAAAACAAAGTGCTAGCCTTGATGTAGGGTATTACATTGCAAGGTGACAGATGTTAGGCAGTAGCTATGTAAAGCCATGGTAATGCTACACTGAGAATACAGGAAGTAGTTGTGGGTACTTCACTGTCAGGAGAGTATATTGATCTTGGAAGTATTCTTGTGCCTATACTAGAATGCTCCAAAAGGAAGAAACTGTGGATGCTAGTTATCAAAAATAAAACAAAACGTGTTCAGCAATCTTATAGTATCTGTGGGGAGAAAAACAACATTAATATTTCATGTCGTTTGCTTCTCATCAGAATGATACTCGAACTTAAAGTAAATTATGAGGGGAGAGGAACATGAGAGCTTGCCCCATCTATCAGCAGATGCTAGGAATCAACTTGATTTGGTTTAAGACCCAAGACTTGCAAGGTTAGGAATAAACATATAATGAACTGAAATGAAATATTTGTTGGAAACCATTGCTGTTGGAGGGGGAGCATTACTTTGGCCATTTTGTCTGCACTTAATTTTAGTTCCCTCCTTGTCCCTGTGAACTGCATACAGTCAGGGTTTCGGTGTGGTTAGTGCATCCTGGTACAGCTGTTTCCTTTAATTGGCAGTGCATTTTCTGGGCTGCATTAATGGATAAACTGGAAGTATTTTAGATAGGAATAATCTCTACTGTCTGGCAACTGGCACTTGACTGAAGGTTTAGAAATATACTTTTTAAACCACGTTCAAAATACGTGGGTACAAAAACGTCACCCCTGAGTGTCACCAAAGCCCAGTGAAAAATTCATTGTGAGGGCAAATAACCCACACTTATCCACCAAAAGCATCTTTTGAGGCCACAGCTAACGCGCTTCCATCATAATCTACTTTAACCTGGCAGTCACTACACTGTTTACTGCATCTCCGATATAAACTTAACAATGCACATTAGCGTTCATTAAGATTGCACTAACTACATGCTTTCCCCATAGAATAACTCATGAAGATGTGCAGTCTTAAACTAGAAATACTATGTTCGTTTGCAAATAATTCATCACCAGGGAGATTTTGAGGTTTGTTTTTAGCTTAGCTGTTTTAGCCTTTTCTTAACAAGACGTCTGTGGAAGACGTCAACCAGTCATACACTTTTTTTTGGTTACTAAAAGGTCACAATTAAGTGGTCAAGTATTAAATAAGGTTCATTAAACATTAAACCCCTGGATAGCTGACAAACAGCTTTGATAAATTATTAAATTAATACCTTTTCTTTAGCTGTGTTTTAATGCTTCCCAACTCCATCAGGGAAGGTGATGGCCTAATGGCATTATGGCTGGACTGTTGATCCAGAGACCCAGATAACATTCTGGGTATCTAGGTTCGAATCCTGCCATACAAATGGTGGAATTTGAATTCAGTAAGCATCTGGATGGTCTGATGACCATGAAACCATTGTCAGTTGTCAGAAAAGTCCATCTGGTTCAACAATGTCATTTACAGAAGGAAACTGCTATCTTTACCTGGTCTGGCCTACATGTAACTTCGGACTCTTAGCAATGTTGGTTGACTTTGAACTGCTCTCTGGGCAATTGGGGATGGACAATAAATGCTGGCCAGCTAGTGTCCAAATCCCATGAATTTAAAAGAGCAAAACAACATGTTTAAATTGTGTGACAAAAGTTTTATTAAAATGGCAATGCATCCTGGCGCATTAATCTAATGAACTGCTTTTGGCAATAGGAACAGATGTAGGCCATTCGGCCCTTCAAAGTCCGCCCTACCATTCTAGATCGTAGCTGATCATTTATGTCAATGTTAAATTCCCACTCCATCCCATATCTCTTAATGTCATCAGTATTCAAAACCTATCCACTTCTGTTTTGAACCTGCTCAGTGGTTGAAATTTTCTACCCCAGAGCTCTGTGGAAGCTGAAAGATTCACCACTGCCTGAAGAAATTACTACTCATCTCAGGCTAAGGGCAGACCGTTTTTGTCCCCTGGAGTAGAGCCATGGAAACATCCTATATATGTCACACCCTGTAAGAATTTGGTAAGTTTCAATAAAATTACCTCTCATTCTGAAAATACAGACCCAGGTTTTCTCAATCTGTCCTCCATAAAACAATATTACCTTCACAGGGCTTAATTAAGTGAGTCTCTGCACTCCTTCCATGGCAAGTACATCTTTTAATAAAATGACCAATACTATATAACCCTGGTGAGACTTCACGTAGGGTGTGGTTCTGTATAACTGCAGTGAGCTATCTTTCCCTTCTGTACTGGACTCCCCTTGAACTGATTACTATAATAGCATATTTTTTTCTAATTGTTTACTATACTTGCTTTCCAGCTTCTTCTAATCTGTGGGCAAGGATCCTTTTGGATCACTTAAGCTTTAAGTAGGATTATCCATTCCATTTGAATCTTAAGATCTGATTTGAATCCATTTCATTCGTGAGCTACTTCCTTCTGCTCAATAAAAGACTATTGGCACTAAGTTTTAACTGGTAAAGACTAGAGGTTAAATTTTCAGTACACTAATTTCTGATTCTCTGACCTCCTACATCCGCAGTAAGGATATCTTTTACACCTTCTCAGTAAAAGAATAATAGAAGGAGTAAAAGTCAACATCTGATTTGAGAAATACTGCTTCCACAAAGAAAACCTTTGCTTCTTAATGAAGGTCTCATTCCTTTTTTTGTATCATTTATCCAAACAAGATGATCTTCACGTTTCCACACTGTAGGGATTCTACAATCTATAGACTGTTCACACTTCCTGCACTCATATAGCTGGGTCTCCCTGGTGCAAAAGAGAAGTAACCCGAGTGCAGGTACGACAAGCAGTTAGGAGAAGTGCTAGTAATGAAGAATTCACCAGTGGATCCTTTCGTGGTATGCTTTAGGGACTTTGTGCTAAGGTTAGGTTAAGCAGCCAGCTTGCTCCAAGGCTGAGATTTAGGCCGAATTTGCAACAAAACCATGATCAAAACCATCTGCTGGGGAAGGGCTAGGAGAGCAGGTGGATACGAAGGAAAGAGAACAGTTTTTAAATCCATCAACATTGGAATGCTAGAAGACCAAGTTAAATCACTGGGGTATTGAATTGTTTGCAAATCTATGCAAAATCTTTAGTTTCTTGGAGAATTATAGAGAATTCCATTGTAATGAGCAATGTTAATTGTTAAATTAAATCTGAGATGCTGTAGATTCAGTTGCACTGTAATTACCTGACTAAATTACTGTAGCTTTGCACATGTGCAATGGAATCACTTTTGCCATGACCCTTCAGTCTGTAAAAGATGTTTTTAGGGTAATGCCTTTTTATGTGTAGAAGTGTGTGTCAGTTATTTTGAATAAAACTTTTCTGATAACTTTTGTGTATGTTGCTTTGTAGCAATTTGAATACATGGTATCTAGGAAATAAGTGCTTTCCTTGTGATGTGGCTTTAAATTTAACTTTTATTGACACTGTCATCAATACCATTTAATGGTTATCAAATTCTAATGTGAAAGTCCAAATACCAATATGTCAACACAAATGCAGAATGTGTCACTACATGACTGAATCACCTAATGAGTTGGTGAGAAATAAAAAGTAGCCCTGGAGAGAATGTCAAGAGTGACCCTGGTGTGAGTACACTCAAACTTCTCTTGCAAATTTCAAGTGCAGCCCTTTGACAACTTTACAGAGCATTGTTTCTGAACATTAATGCAACTCTTACTTTATCTTGCATCTAAGAATTATGACCTTGTGGAAACAGTCTTTTTTTTTTCCTGGTTATTTTCAAAATTAGTGATATGCAAGGGAGAAAATCCCGTTTGCGTGTCAAAAAATATTTAAAAAGTAAAATCTGAACCTATTAGTAGCTGTCCTACTTCAAGCAGAGCTAATGATTGCTGCTGCATGATTGTTAGAGGAACATTGAAAAGAAGCTAACATATTAAATGTCAGCAGAAGATCATTATAAAACCTGAATAAATAAATTTTGTGTAAGGACGTGGCTAATTTTGTTAACTGATTTCCACCCTTGATATCGAAATATGTACTATCATTGCAAAAATGCTTCCACTGTACTGGGAAAAATGGCTACATTAATGAAGTTCTTTGATTTCTATTTCTTTCAGACTGCAAATGGGTACATCTTGCTCTTTGACATTGTGTGCTCGGAACAAGAGAAATACTTATATGAACCAGTATATCCCAAGTAAGTCTTAACCTTTTAATTTTGAAACGGGAGTGGTGCTCCTTTAATATTGATGTTTGGTACAAGATTATCTAAGAGTTTAACGCTGCTGGCTTAATCTGGGGTTGCTTGCAGAAGTTTGGTGAAGAGTACGTTTTGTGAAAATTTATGTCTCACAAGCATATTTTCTCTTTGCCCATCACCCATAAACTTATTGCTACATTACAGCATACAAACAGAATAGTCATTTCCTCAAGTTTGTGCTGGTAGTGTTCTTAACAACTCATTTAGTTTAATGCAATTCAGCAGCTTGTTCCTATAACAATCATGCAGCAGCAATCATTAGCTCTGCTTGAAGTATGACAGCTACTAATAGGTTCAGATTTTACTTTTTAAATATCTTTTGATATGCAAACGGAATTTTCTCCCTTGCATATCACTAATTTTGAATATAAACGTCAGTTTATATGCAGAAAATAGGGAGGTGGATGGGGTAGGGAGTAAATGATAAGATAGAGCCCAAAGAGAGAAAGACAGTTCAACAGACAAAGGAGTTGCTAACGATCAGGCTGAGAGGGTGACTATTGTTAATGGGGACTATTAGTGACTAACAACAGGGGGTGTGTGGTGGCAGGCTATGTGGTAACAAGGCCTGGTCTGGGACATGGGAGAGTTTAGGCCCTAAAACTATTGAACTCAATATTGAGTCCGGAGGGCTGTAGGTTCCCAAGCGGAAAATGAGGTATTGTTCCTCCAGCTTGCATTGGGCTTCACTGGAACACTGTAGCAAGCCGGAGACACATGTTGGCCAGAGAGCAGGGTGGTGCATTGAAGTGGCAGGCAACAGGTAGTTCAGGGTCTTTTTTTGCGAGCGGAACGTAGATGCCTACCAAGTCTACGCTTCATTTCCCCAATGTGGAGGAGACCACGTTGTGAGCAGCGAATGCAGTAGAGTAGAGTCTTGGAAGTGCAGGTGAAGTGTTGCTTCACCTGGAAGGTATGTTTGGGCCCTTGATAGTGGGGAGGGAGGAGGTAAATGGGCAGGTGTTGCACTTTCACTGGTTACAGGTGAAGGTGCCGTAGGGCTGTGGGGAGGTGTTGAGGGTGAAGGAAGTGTGGACCAGGGTGTCCCGGAGGGAACAGTCCCTGCGGAAGGCAGACAAGGGAGGGGAGGGGAATATGTCTGGTGGTGGCATCTTGCTGGAGGTGGCAGAAATGGCATCTGATCTTCTGGATGTGGATGCTGGTGGGATGGTGGGTGAGGATAAGGGGAACCCTATGGCTGTTGCGGGAGGGAAGAGAAAGGGTGAGGGCAAAAGTGCGGGAGATGGGTCGCACCCGATTGAGGGCCCTGTTGACAACGGAGCTGGGGAATCCTCGGTTGAGGAAGAATGTGGATATTTCGGAGGCTCCCTTGTTGAAGTTGGCCTCATCTGAACATGTGTGACAGAGACAGAGGAACTGAGAAAATGGGATGGAGTCTTTACAGGAAGTGGGGTGTAAGGATGTAGTCCAGGTAGCTGTGGGAGTCGGTGGGTTTGTAATGGATGTACAATTCAAGTTCTAATAATAGATGGAAGTGGAATTATTCCAATTTTGCTGTGGGTGGTTCTGCCAGATAGGTGGATACAGTATGTCAACTTCCATGTAGGACCACAATGATAGTTTGCAGGTCCAAATGATACCACTAAATATAACTTGAGTGAAGGTATGGAAGGCATGGTAATTAAGCTTGCAGATGGTGCAAAAATAATTAATGTTGCAAAGTTGACGTGTGCAGACATCTATAGATAAGTTGAGTGACGAAAAAATCTGGCAGATGAAGGAAATGTGCCAAAATGTATCCTTATTCACTTTGGTAGGAAGAACAGAATGACATGATGCAGAGGAATTTAGGTGTGCAAGTGCATGAATCACAAGTTAGTAGGCCGGTACAGCAAGGAATAAAAAAGGCTAATGTAATACTCTCCTTTATTACAAAAGGAACTTGATTAATTTAAGCATGTTTTGCTTATGTTATAGAGAATTAGTGAGTCTACATCTTGAGCATGGAATGGTCATCTTTTAAGGGAGGATGTAAATATATTAGAGGTTGTTCAGAGAAGGTTTATTAGATTGGTACCTGAAATGACGGCATGTCTTGTACAGGAAGATTAGTGTGACTGGACTTGTTTCCAATAGAGTTTAGGAAGTGAGCCATGACTTGGTATAAGGTCTTCCTTTTAAAAAAAAAAAAAAAAAGTCTTGAAAAGGTGGATGTAGAAAGGATGTTTCCTCTTGTGGGTGAGCCCAGAACTAAGGGGCACTGTTTTAAAATTAAGAGTTAACCTTTCTGAATAGAAGTGAGGAGAATTCTTTTGAGGGTGTGAGAATTTGTAGCACTCTGACTCAGAAGTTAGTGGAGGTGGTCAAGCTGGAGGTGGATGGATTCTTGTTAGGCAAGGGAATCGAAGGTTGTTGTGGGTTAAACGGGAATGTGGAATTTTAAGCCTGAACAGATCAGTAGTCATCTTATTAAATGGCAGGGCAGACCTCCGATGCTAAATCACCATCTTCACCTCACAATTTGTATGTTTGTAAATCTCATTAACTTTGAACAACAGATCCAAATTCCTGTAAAACCAATCAACAAACTTTGATATTGACATATATAAGGCCTCTTTCTACATATTGCATTCTACTCAGTTTTACCCCAGCTGAGTTCCATTCTCCTCTTTTTCATCCCTACCTATCAGCTCATGTTTCACATTAAATTTTATTTTTCATCAAATGCATTTTCTACAAGATTGTACATCAAATAAATTATAAAGAATATACCACATTTTTCACTTTTTAAATAATTTAGTATCGTGTTTGTTCTACTATCAACTGACTTACCCTTATACTGCTTAAACCCTGTGGATATACTATTCTGTTTCAAATGCTGAGAATCCTGTAGCACGAGGGTATGCAGGATAAGGTGGGACTATTTTAGTTTGGGAACATGGTCAGTGTGGATTAGTTGGACCAAGGGATCTGTTTCCATGCTCTGATTCTGTCTGCCCAATGTACAAACACATTATGAATAACTAGTTTCGGGGACTGCTTTTGTCTCTGATTTTAATACCTTATCTTCACAGTCAGCAGGGCAGGCTTGCAGAAAGTGAGACTTCCAATGGTCCCTAATAAAATACCTGTAAGGAAATACCTTTCAATTACAGAGACCCTGTTACAATGTTCTTATTACTTAGTCATTGGGGAAGCAACTTCATAGCTTTGCTTGTAAATGTTTCAAGTGCTATTTCTTTCCTATTTCAATTGTGTACAATTTTATGTTAGCTTTTAAGAACAGTAAAGTAATTCTTGTTTTCCAAATCCTTTCAGTGAAAAATGGTCACAATATATAGAAGTGTTCCTGATTTTATTAGCAAGATTCAGTATTCTGCCCCTTGCATCAGTCTGTGGTTAAAATGATACAAATGCTATACTCCAATATGATGATCAATTTGATAGACTTTAATGCTGTAATATTGACAAAGGGCATTTTCTAGCCCTAAATTTTCTTGTTATATTCCTCTCTCTACTTTGCTTTCTGACTTAGTGCTGAAAATATATCATTACATACAAAACCTGATAGTAAACTCTTTGACCAAGTCTAGAAGCAAAAGGTGGAATCGAATACAATTATAAGAACTTCATTTAGCTATTAATGTATTCTTGGAGATGTAAACACCACATTCAGTCATATGACTAATCATATATTGAATAATCAATTAATGTAGAACACTAACATGCAGGACTGTCAAACGTAACTCCTAACGTGCTGCTGTATGGCAACAGGACAATGACCAACTGTAGCCAGCAGGAAAGAAAGGAAAACTGTTTTTAAATTCACCACCCTACGTATAAATTTGGGAAGATAATACTTTTGGTCCTGATGAAATTGGGTAATTTAGTTTTCATGACTCTGCTCCAGTACAGAACTTGAAAAAAGAAATGTTGCAAAGCTTTTCATTTTGCATTTAGGCCAAATGTGAGAATATTGCATGTCAAACTAGCCCAACAATCTGTACTATAGGAAGAAAGAATGCTAATTCGCTGACCAGTCAACTTGGACTGAGGTGTTGCCACTGACAACATAACAAGGTAAGTTTCCCAAACTCCCAGGTAACTTGAAAAATGTACAAGGTTGAACATTGACTACAGAGGGCAGTCACTGCATATATTTCCTCTGAGTATAAATTAACTGCATTACAGATCAACTGATTATCATAAATTGGTAGTACGTCTATTAATGTTGATAGTTGTGCACTCAGGATTTTTTTCAGCAAATTTGAGGCGCTGTATATTACTCCTACCAATGTCTTCTTTCCCTTGCTTTTTTTTTGTACTTCTGCTCAAAAAGACTGCACTTCATCTGAGCTTAGATCATCTCTCTCAACTGTCATTACATTTTTTATTGACAGTCCTATCCCAACACCTTTTCCATAGTCCTGTCTCCAAAAGGCCAAATATATTTGAATGTTGAGTTCAGTTTTGCTGTTCTAGTAACCAAATTTTTATAATGGTCATGAGATCATATTCTTTTACCTCAATTTGCACCATCAGTTTGTCTGCCTTATTTTCAATAAGAATTGGGAACACTGTGGGAATGGCTATAAATCAAAGTAATAGGAGTACGTAAAAAGAACAGAGCAATAATTATGAATGACTTTAATGTTCATCTTGTTTGAGTTAATTAAATTGGAAAGAGTATCTGCAACAATGAATTCATAGTACATTAGGGACAGTTTCCTATAGCAATATGTCCTGGAGCCAACCAGGGAGCACAATATCTTGAATCGGATAATAGGTAATGAGTCAGGTTTAGTAAGTGACCTCTGAGTAAAAGATCTCCTAGGAAATAGTGAATAACATGATAGAATTTAATATTTAGTTCGAAATTGAGAAACTTGGGTCAGAACAACTGCATTTAACTTAAATAAAGGGTATTGCAATTAAATGTGCATAGTTAGCTGAAGTGAGCTGGGTGGATAGATTAG